CTTTCTAGTGTTCTTCCTTCTCAGCATCCAATATCATCTCCCTATTTCCATGTCTTCCTTAATATTTGGAGAAGTGGGAAACTTACTGACGTAGAGGAGATAAATGTAGGTAACATTCTTTGCCCCAACAGTCAAGTAGTCCGTGAGGAATTAGCAATCATTCCCTATGCTGTGCTATGAAATACACAGCTAACTCTTTTTGCTTCAGTTCATACTTTTGCCTCCACAATCTCTCAATAAAGTCCCCATCTGCTATGTCTATGAACTGATTCCCTCTGGGATCATTCTTTTTATTAGAATCTTAGCTTCTTACAAACATACCTCCTCATGTCCACTTAAGACTCCAATAATTATCTCCTTTCCAGAGGAACTTCTCCCAGGAAAGAAATATTCTCAAATCAGTTCCATACCAGAATTACTGTCCCTGATGCTCCCTTCAGAGACATGGGAGATCAGAACAAAAGTCAGTCTCTTTACTTGCATCTGTAATACTTTGGTTTCAGTTTCTATTTCCTTCCTTTTGATCCGTGTTTATACCTTTCAGGTACTGAAGATTTAATAATAATAAATGTAAATAATGTGAAATTTGTGTGATTTTAGAATGGATTTGTGATTTGGGGAAAAAGTCAACATGGAGATGCTCTTCAAAATATGAGGGCAATAAGTGTTTTGATTGTGCCTTGCTGAGAATTTGTACGGACTCTACAAGAATACTGACTATTTGGTTATTTCGGGGAAATAAGACATCTTTGAGATGCACACTGTCTTCAAGAGGTGTTTTAACAGTTTCCTAAAATGAAATTCTTTAAGGCAAGTTTATGTCCTCAACACATGGGTAAAGATGAGTAAATCGAATTGCAACAGGGTAAATTGTCCAATCAGGTCATTGAAAGTGAGAGACTGTAACATCTGTATCCTTAGCTGGCTTCTTGCCTCGGAGCCCCTTTCTCAGGATGACAATATGCACAAGCATATCAAGGGTGAATGCAAATAACACCATCACAACTACTGACCTTGTTGGTTTATAGATAAATCAATATTAGGAGTTTAACAGTAGAAAGTCTAATCTATTAGAAATCTTTATTTTTCAATAAGAGTAACTGGGGTTTTCATTTTTCTTTCCAGGAAACATCTATTACTGACATTAAGTTCACAAACGTGATAAAGAGGATGCTTTTGTGTTCATTTTCATAAGATGGTGTCACTTATCAATCACTCTTTGCAGATTCTTCCTTAAGAATTTTTTATTCAATTTTCTGATGATTAGCTAGGAAATGTCTTCAGGGCTGATGAAATTCTGTGCTGATTGATTGTGTTGTGCAAAGATAACTGTATTTGTGGTCATAAAATGCAAGTTTTAGGCTCTTTATTCTGATTTATTATTGGGAAAATCATTTTACTTCACAAAGCTTATTTCATTAAGTATAAAGTGGAAATATTTATAATTCCCTCATGGTGTTACTGTTAGCTGAAGTGAGGTAAATGCAAAGTTAGTCTCATAATCCTAATTGCAATATAAAATGTAAGAGATATTAAAATATATAAAAAAGGGGAGAAGAGATTTAGTGATTCATTTTTAAAAATAGGGGAGCACAAATAAGCATAAACAACCTTCTTCGGAGACCTGTAGTCATGTACATATTGTAGAGAGGCATCTCTACTGGGGATCTGTGGATATTGCCAAATATTTCCTATGATGAGTGCAGATATTTCATGAACACAGTTAACGCAATAAGCATGTAACAAGAAACGTGGATTAGGCCTTTAGTTAAACAATTAAATGTTATTTAAGCTTTGCTGCTGCAGAAGGAAAATATGGTTAATGTGAGAAAATCAAATGACTTTGTGGACTAAGTTATAAAATAGGGACATGGCAAACATCAAGTTTTGACCGTTGACATCCTATGTCGCTGCAGTATGGTTCAGGGGTGGATGCCAAGTGTCTCTTTAAAATGCCGTTACTTTGAAGAGTCTAGCTGCCTGGGGAGTGGGTGTTGAACAGTATTGTCTCTCCAAATCTGCAGCCTAAGGGAAAGTGCCACTTTTGATGGTGAGGAGGAAAAAATTGCATTTATTTGATATTTTTGCTGTTCTTGAGCTTATTCCCCTCCATCTTTGCCCTCTATCCCCGTATCTGTGTAACAAAACCCGCTGATCACAATACCCAGAAGACAGAAAAGGAGTACGGCACAACATTCTCTCCACAAACATTTTTTTTAATTTTAAGAATATGAAACAATCATAATATGAATTTGAAAATATGATTTGCTGAGAACAATTTTCCATTGAGAGTCAGAGGGCACAACTCCATGAAGGGGTTTTTCAGCATGAGAAGACTTTTCTCATTCTGAAGAAACTGCAGTAAAAGTTCAACGAGGAACATAGCCTTTCCTGGTCGATCCAAGCTCCTCCCGGCACACAATGAGCTATTTCTTTTCCTGAGGATATCGAACCAGCTATTAAAACTTATCAACAGGAAACAGATCAGGAGCCCTGTAACAGCAGGAAGTGTGAGAAGTGTAATGGGGCCTTTTACTTTGGGGATATAAGCAGATTAAGTAGAAGAGTCTAGTAGGTTGCCTCAGGGTTGGCCTTAATTTCGAGGAGTCAAATACTTTGTAAAGGGATTCTTGTTGTTTTTGAAGAATACAAAAAGCAGCATAATCTGATATAAAGCATACAAAACTTTTTTACAAGCTTCATTGTAAGAATAGATTTTTAGAATCTAATAATACTTATTATTAGTCTGTCAATATTACTATTCTAACGTTTTTCTTTTTACACATTTGATGTACTTTGACCATACCTTATAACAAAGCCTGTTTACATTTCTAGGACAGAGTTTTATGTTTCCTTTTCTTTCCATTTTCTAAAGCTGACTTGGAACTCCAGGAGATGGATCAAAGACACCCTATCCATTATTGGTGGGACAAGAATTTAAACTGGTTATCTCAGCGCTGAGACCCAATCTCTAACTGCTGCCTTGAAAAAGGCCTTGAGATTCTGGGCCAGAAGCAACCTGCAGGAAAAAATCTTTCATCTATAACATCTGTATAGAAAGCAATATTTCCACTGAAAAAATTTGTCGGAGCTTATGCCAGCTGCACGGGAGATAAAATTCTGTCTTGTAAATACTGCATCACGTACTGGCGGGATGACATCAGCCAAAGGATGTTTGCCTTTTGCTTCATTGTACTTTTTCTAAAAAGAGTTATTAAGTGCTTCCTATTCTTTCTCTAAACATAGCTCCATGACAATACTTAGAAGAATCTTGAAGACAAACAGTCTTTAATAATAAAAATTGCTATTGTTTCTCCTTTATGCCAGGTTATTATCCTTAGCTGCCAGCTGCCAGCTGTGAAAACCAAACACAGGAGACAACTTATATTGTGCTTTCTTTGCTATTCTCCTTTTCTAGGCTTAGCAGAAAACTAGAGAAAATCCCTTTTCTTGAAATTCCCACCATCTAAACTCTGGGTCAAGGGTAAACAAAGAAAAACACCCAAAAAACACGCTCTTCTCATCCTTAAAGGACCTTATCTGTGAGACGTCATCTTTTTACAGTAGACTCTAGGTTTATTTAAATGATTTCCACTGCCTCGGTCAATTAGGTTTTATTTTACTTTATTTATTTAAGTGGTGTCTTTGTCATAAGGAGAGAAATATGAGAATCTAATGTATCGCAGCTACTCCTTTGAGAAATGAAAGATTAAATAAAATTGTATTGAATTTAGCACATATCTGATGAGCATCTGCTGTATGGTAAGGTGTGGTTCTAGGGATAGTAAGTGGTAGAAAAGTAATATCATAATAATGAGTGAATTTTTCCTTCCTATGGATCACAAGATACTTTCATATCCATTGTCTCTTGGGAACAAATTAGTCCATGTTTCAAGGGGCCTGCAGACCTGGAACAGAGCTGGTCAATAGATTTATTGGAAGAGATTTATTAACTTTAAAACAGATATTCTCTCCAGACAGTTGCCGACATTTTACGTATAAACTTTATCTTCTCAACGTTCGTATAATATGAGCAAGAAAAGGAGTCATTTTTACCTAGAAGACCTGAATAATGTTGATGACTAGCGATGGTTGGTGATTTACTCAAGGTAACAATAGCAAGCACAGATACAGTGTTCAACTTTGGCAAGGTACTCTTCTCAGCAACTTATATATACTAATTTCAAACAATATTTTGAAGTAAGCTCTAGGATTATTTTACAGTTAGGAAATTAAGGCATGGAGAGATACAATTGAAAGTGCTGGAGTGCTAGTCTGGAGATTCCAGTCCATGAGTCCTTTGATGTGTGAGTGGTGAAGACAGTCAGTGAGAGGGAATAAAGAAGTTTACAACTGTCCTTTGCTGCAGAAACACTGACATTGGCAGCCGGATATTCCCTCCTCTTATGTGAAGGGCTGGTGTCACCGACTAACCACCCCAAGGAACTCAAGGCTGGATTTGGAATCATTTAACTGTTTTTCCCAATTGTTTTTTTGCCTTCTGTTAAGTTAAGGAGATGTAATCACCACCCACCCTGAACCAGACCAAACCTCACCGCAAGAACTACACCTATGACCTTTGCCTTATTTTTAATGCTAAGATCTCTACAGGAGGAACTTAGGCCTTACTACCTTAAGGTAACCTGCAGTGTATGTGGAAGCATGTTTTCCAACTAAGCCTGTGCAAGTGAATACCAAACTCTCCCTTTTGAATATTCATTCCCCATCCAAAATAAATGTCACTGCTTCCCTTTGTTTGGGGATGCCATGACTTTGGAAATGATTTCACATGATCTCCTATTTGCTGTAAATACACTTTACTTTGTGAGACGACTACTTCTGATGGGGAGTCTGATTTAACTCACCAAGTGGGAACCCACTTTGGTTTCAGTAACACCAGTAAAGTAGAATTCTGCACTCCGAAAAAGGGTATCGTCTTACTGGCAGCAGAGAGAAGCCTGTCTCCCTTCCAATTTGATAATCCATATCTTTGTCTTCTCTTCCTACCAGTCCAATAGCACAATACCTGGAAGCTTAAAAAATGAATAGAAAGATCTGGCAGACAGTGAGGTTTAAAAGGCCACATTTATTTATTTATTAAAAAAGTATCAGTCAACTAGAACTATGTCATCTCACCAGTGACTTAGAGTTTTCTGTGTGGAGTTATAGCCACTCTAGATGAAAAAAAGGAAAAAAAAGAAAAAAGTGACAAATGAAAATTATTTTTCTTCAGTTTATTTTCAATTCTTCAGAGTTTTGTTCTATATAGCTCTAAATCAATTGTATTCTTGGTAATTTGAACAATGTCAAAGAAGTATCTGGAAAGTATTAAAGAATATTACGAACTGTAGGTGACAAAATAAGCTGTGTGTCCCAGGTAGCTAGCTTCGTAGCCCATGCATTGGTTTACTTCTGCACTTACTCTTTGGCTTTTTGTAGCAGGTTTTCCAAGGGCCTGTTACAAATACTATTGTAATAGAGAGATCACTTAAAGCACAATTTCTTTCAGATGCAAGATCTTAATGCATACTTCTCACAGATAAAATGTTTCCAACTGCTGCAGTTAGCTGAAAAAAGGATCTTGTTTTTGAGGTATCCACAGACCAGGTTAGGTGATTGCGGTCTCTGTACTGGCCACCTGGAGAGGCAAGTCAGTGTATCCAAAGTTAGATATGGGGCTTACAGTGATGTTCCCGTGGGTAACTAATGAGAGGTGTACAGCTTTTCATTTTATTTTGTTTCAGTATGGCACCTTCCTGTGGTAATTATGTCCTCATTCTTCAATAAGAGAGCTGTTTTCTCTCAATAAAATATGTTAATGTAATTCAACAAAGTGTACATTAGCAGACAAACAAACATGGCTACACAAAGATAGGCTCCAATTTAGAACTTCTTTCCTGACTCAATTCTCAAAATACAAAGGGACCCTATTCTGTTCACCAATCTCTCCAGTTTTGTCTGAAAGCTTAATATGGAAATTGCTTAATAATTACTAAAATCTCTTTCTTTTTTTGTTTTTTTAAAGATTGGCATCTGAGCTGACAACTGTTGCCAATTTTTTTTCTTTATTCTTCTCCCCAAAGCCCCCCAGTACACATTTGTATATTCTAGTTGTGAGTGCCTCTGGTTATGCTATGTGGGACACTGCCTCAGCATAGCCTGATGAGTGGTGCCATGTCTGCACCCAGGATCTGAACCAGTGAAATCCTGGGCCACTGAAGCAGAGAGTGTGAACTTAACCACTCAGCCACAGGGCTGGCCCCCTATAATCTCTTTCTCTTAGCACTCTCTAGCCATTAAGTGACACAAAGGAAATGTACTTGATAATTACATAAACTGTTCATTCAGACTCTCAGATTTTGATGTGAATGTGTTAGAAAGTAATGGCTACAAGACTGAGAAGGAGGAAGATTTATTTAGAAGCCATGAAGCTACTCTTAAATTGCCTCAGCTTTAATTCCAGTCAGAAGCCTGTGAAATTAGCATGCTAGTTACGTCTCCTGGAGGAAACCTAAGCCATAAAGTAAAATGAACTTTTGAATTCTATCATGTTTCTAATTTTCCTTACAACATTTTCCTCAGACACTTACAGGTCTGGGGAAAGAGAAGAACCATCTTGCCAAAGCCAAGGTCCGCTGAGTCCGTCCTGAGACAGTCCCACCCAGTAATCATAGCTGCTTTTGATCCTCTTCAGGCTGCCTGTGATAAAGTCCTATAAGAAACAAGACCTGAAGGGTGAACTGAGGGGAAAAAACCCCAACAACAAACTATCGTGAAATATGAACTGTAGTGTTTTGCTTAGACAGAAATTAACGGGGACTTGACAGCTGGAGAAAGAGAGAGAGAGGGTATTTAAAAGAAGGGATACATTTTATAGACTTTTTTCCTATTGCCATATGATCAATGTGGTGTTAAGGACTAGAGGAAAAATAGACATCTGGTATTAAAATAGTTTTAACAGATTCAGAGAGTTTCAACAGAGTTTGGTAGATAGTATATGTCAAAAAAGGCGACTATTATACTGGGCCCTCATTATCAGGACAGGTGAAATATTCTGGACATCAGAGACCACATAGTTCATTTTTTCCCAGTATACTTCAATATGAGAAATAGTTTAGAAGATTCCAGAAACAGCTTAACTGCAACATATTTTGTTAGAAGAAGCATTACTAAAATTCATCACCAAGTTTGCACAGAAAAAAGAGTGTAAATCTGTAATTGTAATAAGTTACTTCAGATTGCCTTGGTTTACTGCATTTCCTTAACAAATTGTTCTCCCATTATTCTTGTAAAAGAGAACTTGGACTGACTATTGAATATAGCAGACATACATTTTTAATAAGGTCAGAAATATATAACCATGCATTCGGTTTCACACATATTTATGGGTAGAATGATTTCAGGGAAACATCTTACTGTTCGCTTGTTAAGATGTTAGTAAACTAGGTGTAATGTCAGTTAAACATTTCATTTAGCAAATGCTTATTTTTATAGACCTCTCCATTTTATGATATCACCTCACTTTTTATACTTCGGCTGCTTCTTCATAATCACAAAATTGTTATAGGTTATACTTCCCTATAGCATTGAAAATAATAAATTTAAAGCAAGTATACAATTATAATGAATGTACATGTTGGAGTAGATTAGCTCATCACAAAATGGTATTTCCCTTCCCCCCTCCTCTTTTTGATTAACAATAAAAGACATATTCTCGATTTCTGGATAAGCTTTCTGTTTTTTTGTTTGCTGGTTTCTCCAATTAAAAGGAAAACAAACCATGCTAATTTCTGCTTTGCCTCTTTTAAACATTTATTTCAACAAATATATTACTGTTATAGAATATTAGGAATTCTGTTTTATGAGAATCAATCCTTTCTTTTAATGGGTAACATGGCATTTTCAGGATGATATGAAACCATAAAATAGTGCTTACCATTTCTTCTTTGTTGTCTATTTGTAGAAGATTAGAGCCCTCCTTCAAACAAACCTGTTTACTGGTATGCCAAGTTTTGTGATTTTCAAAGACATAGTAACAACTTTCTCCATTCTGAATCCAGTTGTCTGGACAAGGGCTGCAGTGATGGGCTTTGAATATAAACATTTTACCTTATTAAAGTTATTGTAAAAATATTAGTAGCACATGTCCTCAAAAGAACCCCTTACATCACCCCCAGTGAAGGTGAACACTCTAAGTGAATGGTTCATGCGATGCAGTGGTTACCAATTTCCGCTTCTCTGAGGCTGAATACAATAAGATTTACGTAATTATTTCCAACTGCAATAGATCTCTAAGAATTAGTTTAAGATAAAAAGAATTTGGGACTATCTTTTCCCCAATTTTTCCTCTTCTATAATAATCAGATTAGTCTATTTTTATAAATCTTTCCTTTTTTTCAGTTTACATCCTTCATAGTCTTCATTCATTGGCTTATTGTTTCATGTTCATTAATCTTACTTGAATCGGTTTAGCTGGAAATGTACTAGACCACTGGGCAAGTTGAGTAATAAGCCTCAAGTTGATGTTTAAACTCTGAGAGTTAAACATGAAAGTGTTTCCTATGTAATGGAGAGAAGAAACAACGCATTTTAACGAGTGACTTAAAAATATGTGGGTGTGGAAAATTGGTGAAAAACTTAAGCGACCACCATGTTTATTTTAGGACTTTGATATAACTAAAAAGTAAGCTGTAATGTTTTAACCAGTTTTATGGAACCTGTCTTTAGAAAGAATTTATTCACAAAGGAAGGATGTGTAAATGCATAAAAAGGGAACAAAAGAATAAAAATTTGACCAAGGCTTTCTGGCACAGTTTTATAGAGGGGAAAAACACTGAAACTTCCAAAACCATAGTTTCTAGAAAGAGGACCTCTATTTAGGGTTGCAAGTAGTTTGTTATCAGTTCCCATGGCCCAGATGTTGAGTTATTTAAAGCTCTTCAATATCCTTTGTTTGGAATCCATGCTAATCAATATCCTGAATATTGTTAAAGTTTAATAGTATAAATAGGGCTGACACTGACAGTTGAAGGGCTGGAGAATATGTTGGATTTGTAGGCCTCCAAGATGAATATTATCACTGACTCAAGGTTGAAAGCTCAGAGGTGGGCCTAACCCATGCTTGCAATAGCCTTTTATCTTTAAAAATATTGCTGGGTACAGGGTGATTCATTTTTGTTTGCAGGGGAAGATTCGCCCTACACTAACATCTGTTACCAATTTTCTCCCTTGCCCCCTCTGCCCCAAAGCCCCAGTACATAGTTGTGTATAGTTGCAAATTCCTCTAGTTTTTCTATGTGAGCTACCACCAGAGCACAGCTACTGACAGACAAGTGGTGTGGTTCCGTGCCTAGGAACTGAACCCAGGCCACTGAAGGGGAGCGCGCAGAACTGTAGCTGCTAGGCTATCAGGGCTGGCTCACACAGTGATTCCTTAAACATTTACTTGACTAAATTTCAATCAGAAGGAGCTATGATAGGTTTTTGACCTCTCTCATTGGCAATTACTTCAATGGTATCCACTGAAGGAAAGTTAATTCTCTGCGTTGTATGTATAATTAAATGCTAATTAAGTAACCATAGAATATTTGACAAACTATACAACAGGGAGAATTAGACTGTTTTATATTTAAAATGCTTGTGATAGTTGTAAAAGGTAAAACTGAAATAACTTTGGAGAATTTTTTGGAAAACTGAACCCTGCATTGCTGTAATTTTATGACAAGTACTCTAAGTTTCAAAATGACTTATCTGCTCAAAGAGTTATATAAATTTGAATCTAAAAAAAATCCAAATTAAATATATTGAGGAATTTGGAGCTATAAATAAAGATACACTTATAAATTTGAGTGATGGGATAAAACATAGAATTGCTTGGTTTTTAAAACTGATCTACTAATCTCACACATTTAACTTTGAAATTTGACTGTATAGCTTCTTTATCTGCATTTCTTGGAACCTCAGTATTTTCCACATACTGTAGAAATATATAAATAAGATTGATCTAGAGAGTGGATCAAAATTACATTTTCTATTATAAAATCCTAACTACAATTTTGCAAAGGATAAAATATGTGTCACTGTTTCTTCTGAGGAGTTGGCACATAGACTTGCATCTGAACAGTGGAAACTGATTTTATGTCCATTACCTGAATTTAATGAGTTTTTCATGAGGATTTGACAGCATTTCATCTGGAAGTCATGGTTTCTATTACACTGTGTGAAGTTCAACAGTGTTCTCTCCTGTTGGATGAGTTTTTCTTGCTGCTTCACTGCAATAGCAGACACCTGGAACACTTCAAACAGTAACAATCATTCCTAATAAAATACTGACAAATTATAAGAAAGTGATCCTTCAACACAGACTAAAGACAACTACTAATTACTGATCACTTTTGTGACTTTAATTTGCATTATTTTAAGTTTTTGTTTAAAATTTACACTGTTCAAGAATCAACAACTACAAAGGATACACAACAAAAATTCTCTTTGGCACCCTTGTCTCCCATTTCCACTCCCCCAAAGCAATCATTTTTACCAATTTCTTTTTTATTCTTCCAGAAATACTTTGAATTTTACAAGCCGATGAATATAAAATGTGCTCTCTTTCCATTACACAAACTGTAACTCCCTGTTTACATGGTTTTGCACCTTTTATTTTATCACTTAAAGTATATTTTGGACATAGTTCCATATCAGCACATGTAAAGCTTTCTCCTTCTTTCATTGTAACAGTATAAGATTCCATTCTAAGGATGTATCATGATTTATTTTACTCGTTCTCTATTGATTTTTAGAATATCTGTAATCTTTTGGTGTAACAGAAATAAATATTGTAATAAGAAACCTTAGTCATATATAATTTCACATATGTGCAAGTATGTTTTTAAGATGAGTTGCTAGGTCAAAGTTTATGTGCATTTAAATTATAGTAGATATTTCCAAATTACCCTCCATATATGCTGTTGCAAATGATATCTCAGTATCATTTGAATTTGCATTTCTCTTTTTATGCTTGGTGTTGAAACTCTTTTCACGTACATTTAAAGAAAATTCAGTTATGTTTCCTTTTCTATGAAGTGTGCAATTATATCATTTGTAATATTTTTTTGTTAGGTTTCTATCTTTTCCTTATTGTTTTATGTGAAGTTTTTAGTGTGCTATGAGAGTGAATTCCAGCAGGCCAGGAATCAGCCTAAGCAGTGTTTCTAAATTTCCTGCATGGCACTGGCCTCTGTACAAGGCATGAGACATACTGATTAATATTGTAGCTTTGTAATCATCGGTCTAAGGATTTTTTGGCAGATTATACTAGCTCATCAGCATTGTTTATTGATGATTTGCCTCTGTTGCAAGGAGACCCTGAGAAGTCTCTGCTGTTGAGGCTGGTTACCATGCAGGAATTTGCCCGTGTGGTCAGCAAAGTATAAGATTCCCAAGTGAGACTCCATTTTGGGCTCCCTGGTACCAAGGTATTCTGTGTACACCTAGTGGTTCTTGATTCAAGAGAGAACAAAGGACACTTATAGGGAGAAGAAAAGGTCCCTGCCTGCACTTGGCCTCCCCAGACTTCTTGTTATAATACATATTTTTGCTTTAATGAGTGTAGATTTGTGAACACTGTCATTTTGGGTCCTGCGAGTCTTCTTTAGAAACCAATCCTGTTTAACTGATTCTGTTAGGACATTTATATTTTGGTAAAGTTAGCTTTTTGTATAATATGAGTTCCAGTTACATTTTCCCAGTTTGTCTTTTGACTTTGCTTCTGGTAGTTTACCCCACGTAGATCAGATGTTTTCTGTGTCATTTATGACACCCTTGATTATACTTTTATAAATATATTTCACTTTTACATTTTGATATTGCTGGAACTTATCTTGTTGGAAATGATAAGGTATGACTTCAACATTTTCCTTCCAGAAGGCTACATTGTTGTTTCAGATCATTTCTTGAACCTCCCCTCCCTGTGTTCTTTCAGTTGCCATCTTTAGTTTACTGTAAATTTCCCATAAACTATTTAAGTATATTTCTATTGTTCTGATTGTATTCAATGCACCTATTTATCTATTAATATGTCAGCGCCAAATAGCCTTAATTATTTCAGGTTTATAATTTATTTTAATATCTGGAAGGGCCAGCATTTCTCCCATTTTCACATAACTTTTGTATTATTTTTTTGTTGTTCTTTTCATACAATTCTTGCTAGCGTATTAAGCCAGTTCTTTTTAAAAATCATATTATGAAGTATCCACCTATTCCTATTTTGTTAAATATTTTTCTTAACGGATATTAATTTTCTTTAACTTGTTTGGTTTTTATAGAATTTCTTGAAACTGTGGCTTAATATTTTTAATTAACTTGGGAAAATACTTAAGCAATAAGTCTTATAATAATCTTGCTTTTGTCCAACTCTCTCTGTCTTCTACTTTTGGGTCCACTATTACACATATGTTAATCTTTCTCATGTCTCTATGTCTCTCATCTTCTTTTCTACATTTTGCTGTCTTTTCACACTCCTTTCTTCATTGTATATATTACTTCTGCTTAGTCTTCTAGTTAATTTACTCTTCAGCTGAGTGAATATATTAAACTGTGTTTTTGGATGATAAAGCAGATCATAACCCTTGTGTAATTTGTCAAAGCTTTATTGAGGTATAATTTACATACAACTGCACATATTTAACAAGTAAAATTTCATATATTTTCATATTTATATTCATGCAGATTGTCACCACATGGTGAATGTATCCATCACACAAGATCTTCCTGTTATTATTTAATCAAAATTTTATTTTGAGGTAATTGTAGGTTCCCATGCAGTTGTAAGAAATAATTTATATTTTAGTCCTTTGTTGATATGTAGTTTGCAAATATTTGCTGCCAGCTTATAGCTTTTTAAAATCTTCTTAACAGCATCTTTTGCGGAGCAAATATTTTTAAGTTTGATGAGGTCCATCCAGTTTATCAATTTTTTATTTTATTAATCATTCTTTTGAATCTTCTTAACAGCATCTTTGGCAGAGAAAATATTTTTAGGTTTGACAAGGTCCATCCATTTTATCAATTTTTTCTTTTGTTAATCATGCTTTTGGTGTCAAGTTTGAAAATTCTTTGCCTAATCTTAGATCCTGAAGATTTTCTACTGTACTTTCTAAAAGTTGTATAGTTTTAAGATTTATATTTAAGTCTATGATCCATTTTGAGTTAATTTATGTATAAAGCATGAGATTTAGGTCGAGGTTCTTTTTTTCCTTTTGCTTATGGATGTCCAGTTTCTCAGCACTAACTGTTGAAAAGGTTATCTTCCTCCATTGAATTGGTTTTGCACCCATATCAAAAATCTGTTGGGCATATTTGGCTGGGTCTATTTCTAGGTTCTTTATTGTACTTTATTGATGTACGTGGGTTCAGCTATAAGTTTTGAAATCAGGTAGATGGATGCTACTCACTTTATTTTTGTTTTAAAAACTGTTTCAACTATTCTAGTTCTTTCGCCCTTCCATAGAAGTTTTCAGATAATCTTGTCTATATCTACAATAAATCTTACTGATTTGCCTTAAACCTGTATGTTACTTGGAGGAGAATTGGTGTATCTGCTATGTTGAGTCTTGCAGTCCGCGACCATGGCACGTGTCTCCATTTATTTAGATGTTTGATTCCTTTCATCAGTGTTTCATAACTTTCAGGATCCAAGTTTTGTCCATGTTTTCCTAGACTTAAACTTAAGTATTTTGTTTTTTTGAGTGATTTTAAATGGTATTGCATTTTTAGTTTTAATGCCTATGTATTCATTGCTAGTATATAATAATACCATTGATTTTTGTATGTTTACCTTGTATCCTGTGAGCTTTCTGACCACATTTATTAGTTCTGGGTTAAAGGCTACACCAGCTGAATTTACATGCAGAAGTGGTTTAATAGAGAGTTATATAATTGGATTGAAATAAGTTTATGATATATTAAGAATTAAGTAAACATATTGTTTTATAGAAGGAGAGAAAAGCATCAAGGAAATCAATTACTGAATTAAAGAGAAAAAAATTGTACATGCTAGCCAGACCATAAAGAGTGAAAATCAGACCGTTTAGAGAGAAATAGAAAAAAAGAAGAAACAGGCAAAACTGTAAAGTAATTTCCATTTTTAAACCACAGTTTTTAAAAGTCAATTAACCGAAAGCATCAAGGAAATCAATTACTGAATTAAAGAGAAAAAAATTGTACATGCTAGCCAGACCGTAAAGAGTGAAAATCAGACCGTTTAGAGAGAAATAGAAAAAAAGAAGAAACAGGCAAAACTGTAAAGTAATTTCCATTTTTAAACCACAGTTTTTAAAAGTCAATTAACCGAGATCATAAAAAGAATCTGTTCAAGAATTGATCAGCTCTGCATTGTTTATAATAACTACACTAGCCAAACTCCACTCCTTTCAGATTGCCATTTTAGAATAATGGAATAACCGGATTCAAAAAATACAAATGAAGTGAATATTATTAAGATTGATCCACACAAAATCTACTTAGCTCTACCTCAAAGGGAAACTCAGACACAATTTGGCTATGCTCTCAAAAGAAGATATTGTCATACAGGAGAAGAGTATAGTTTGTTTATGAAAAAACAATTTGTATCTGCATGTTGTTCATCTCTCCATTAACTGGTCATCAGCATTTGTAATAAAATATTTAATTGCATATCTGCATATTCTATCTGTCTTAGTCATCAACATTGCTACCGAGAAGGAAATGCTACAAATCAAGAACCATGGACTAGAGAAAACAAATGTTTACGCCCTGTCCATCTGTGGATAGTTCAGGTAACCCAGGCTGCCAGTGGCTCTGATTATTTCTCTTCTTCTTGGCAAAGGTTGGAACTAACCAGAGTGCAGAGTAGGACAGCGATGTTAGTTCTTTTATCCTAATAATAATCTGGCATGTTTAGATGGTGAAAAATAACAATCTTTCTTTTAGGAATCTGAAGTATCATTCTAAAATTTTAAATTTTGAGGAACTTTTTCTAGTTAATATTTTTGAGGTTCTTATTGCTTTGTTTATTACTACCTGAAAAGCCTGTACTGCATAAAACTGTAATAAAACTGGAGAAAGTGAAATGAGGCTTCTCTTTAGTTTTCCCCTAAATTGGAAGCAATATATTGCACCTTTATTGGTATTAGGGTTGTAATCAATTTGCAACAGGTGACAGATGAAGACTAAAAATACAATTACCTGGGGAAAGATAAGACAAAATATTTTCAATGCTTCCCAAAATAAAAGTATTTGTTATAGGATGTTATATGTTATACCTAATTGGTAAATTAGGAAAATGAAAAAGAATAGTAAAACAAATGAAAAAAATCTGATTTCTTAGAAAATATTTTGCACTATAGAGTTACTTAAATAGAAGGTCAACTAGCATAACTAATATGGCAGAAAAAACAAAATACAAAATATAAGGAGAAAGCAAGAAATTACTCTACTTACCTTTAAGCCTATCACTCAAATAACAGTTGTTAATATTTATATTATATCCATTATAACCTTTTCCCATATATGCATGTAAAAACTACATGTATCTGACATATAATTTTTATTAAACTGTATTTTTCTTTCTTTTTTTTCCTGAGGAAGATTCACCCTGAGCTAACATCTATTACCAATCTTCTATTTTCTGAGGAAGATTTGCCCTGAGCTAACATCTATTGACAATCTTCCTCTTTTTTTTGTATGTGAGCCACAGCCACGTCATGGCCATTGACCAGTGGTGTAGGTCCGTGCCCAGGAACTGAACACAGGCTGATGAAGCGGAGTATGCCAAACTTAACCAATAGGCCACTGGGGCAGGCCCAAACTATATTTTTCTTTAAACGACTTTTTAATTGGCTTCTTTCGTGGGAAAATATTGCATAATTATATCTCCATGTTAATAACAATAGTTCTAGAAGACTTCTTTGAATTACATTGTATTCTTTTATATCAATGCAACATGACTAATTTTACCTATTTTATTGTCAGATATGTATGAATGCACTTTTAATAATATATAAGAATAATTTGTAAATTAGCTCATTCATTACTTTTATATATCACGATACTTTAAGTGGAAGGATATAGGTTTCATTTACTACTTTTTGTCAAAAATATGTCCTGGTTTCTAATGCATATATTAAATTATATATATAATATGTTATATATGTTACATTTATAATTTAAATAGTTGTATTGACATTTATCTTACAATGAACATTTTCATGAAGAGAATATTTAACATTCTTTGTTAAAATGGAACATGATTAAGAATAATTATTAAAAATTAAACATGATTTTTATAACTCAAAACTTAGTGGCTACAACATAATCTGTAACTAGCAGGGACAAGCAATTAATTAGAAAAGTTTGAAGGGCACAAGCTAGTTCTTGTTTAACACAACTGCTTAACTAACTTGGTTTTAGTTTAAAAAAGCCTTAAGTGCTGAGAATGCATAAGACGACCTTGGCAAATGATAACATTGGTAGGAAAAAATAAGTAAATAAAAGCCACTATATTTGAACAAAACTTAAAGGTAAAAGTATTTTACATTTGTATAGTAACATTTAGGTTTTAAAAATAGATATTTATAGTTACTAATACAAAATCAAAGAAAAGAAAAACTTTTATTTGTAAGCATTTTCCAGAAATTACTGAAAGTCTTAAATACTTTATTTTCTAGTTAGCTTTTATTTATCCTCATTAAAGTACCATTTTCTTCACACAATTTTTGTTTTCAGAGTTAAAAAGTTTTCAATGTATATTACATCCATGGGATCAAAACATTAAAAAGACCATGGAAAGTAAACACCGAAATATCTTGTTTCACCATTGTCATCATCTATCTAACTTATCCTGACCCCATTTTAGTTATTTCTTATGTATCATTCCAATGTTACTTTGTGTAACTTGAAGTTATCCTTAATTAAATTGTGGCATAGCGGGGCCTGCTCTGTGGCCAAGTGGTTAAGTTCCCGCGCTCCGCTGTGGAGACCCAGGGTTCGGATCCTGGACTCGGACATGGTACCCCTCGTCAGGCGGCGTCCCACATCCCACAACTAGAAGGACGTGCAACTCAGATATGCAGCCGTGTACAGGGCGGGGTTTGGGGAGATAAAGCAGAAAAAAAAAAAAAAAAAAGAAGATTGGCAACAGTTGTTAGCCCAGGTGCCAATCTTTAAGAAAACAAAAATATGGCATAGGATATGCATTATTTTGAATGTTCCTTTTTTTCACTTAGCAATATATCATGAAGATATTTACATATTACTCCATAGAGAATAGCTTCCATAGATGCTGCTGCTTCTCCACCCCCTCCTCCTTCCCCTCCTGCTTCTCCCGTTTCCCTCCTTCTCCTTCCTTTCCCTCTCCCTCCCCTCTCCTCTCCTTTCCTCTTCTTCTTCTCCTTGTTCTTCATCGTCTTCTTCTTCTTCGTTATCTTCTTCCTCTCCTTCTTCTTCTTTTGCTCCTCTTCCTTCTTCTTCTCCCATCTCCTCCTCTTCCTTCTCTTCCTCCTCCTCCTCATCCTCCACCTCTTCTACCTCCTCCTTTTCATTCTTGCTTCATGGTATTCCATATTGTGGATCCACCATTGTTGATTTATATGGTCCCTTAGTGATAGGCATTTGAGGTTTTTTTAGTCTTTTTTGCCCTCCATTGCTATCTGTGCAGGTTTACCTACTGGAAAATTTTCCAAAAGTGAGATTTCTGGGTCAAAATGAATTAGTACAGTTTAAGATAACCCAGAGTTTGTTAAGAACATGATTATCATAGTTTATCTAAACAGATTTTATGAGCTACACAGAGAGGAAGACAAAATTAAGTATCCAAAGGACAGCAAGGATGTGGATTTTTTTCCATGAGGACATGGAAAGTGCACAGTATGCTTTCATAAGCATCCTTAGTACATACTATACGCTGTCTGGCAATATAATAACTGATGATTGGAGACTATACATTTATTTTTATATAAAAGTGAATTCTATATCCCATTCACTTGACAATATTGCTCCAAAGTGTTGCATCTTCAGTTAATCTTATTTTTAATTGAAAGTGTTCTTTATATTTCAAGTTTATTTTATTTTCTTACCCCAAGTAGTTCATATTTATAAAACAACATTCAAATTTACTATATAGAAGTGATATTTGAACCATATATTTTGATATTTGCAATGTCAATTAAGTATGGATTCTTGTATAGTAGTTAGAATGGAGCTTGGCAATGTTCCATTAAATGTCTTTTGGTTTTATAAAGAAAACTGTATTATTAGATGTTAATCAACTTATCTGTTAGAGGTCTTTGAACTCTGCAATCTGCTTCCAATGTATCTGTTTGATAAATAGATATTTAAACATGTTTCCTTTAAAAATAGACTTACATTTGATTTAATTTTTTTCTTTTTTTGATAAAGCACAGAAGGAGCATAGAATGAGATAAAGCTTTCTGGAAGTTCTAACATCTGTTGTAGGCTGTGTAATTTTATTTGAGGAGATAGATAAGGTAACAATTATTTATTGTTAGCATGAGTGATAATAAAAGTTCTTAGTACTTGCTGGAATCTGCAGCTCTGTATTTATTATATTATATAAAAATTTCATTTGCAAGATATGGAAAAATGTCTCAAATTTGGACAAAAGGGAATAAATAAATGTGGTTAAGTACGGCCCAGATGAAGTTCTCGGGTTTACACTAAATATAGTAAATTGTACCTTACCTAATATAAAGTGAGAAACTCATCAAAAAAATCTGCATATGTCAAGTTTAGAATAAATGCATATTTATAAAAGGAAGAGCATATATTGAAATCTTTCAGATTGCATGCATTGGCATGCTAACGTGATTCACAAACTGCATCACAATATAAGTAATTACTTGCATTATTTTTCTCAAAGAGACCTATGCCATTAGATCTGAGTTAAACAACATGCAATTGAACATTAAAAGCTATTGGTAGCATCCGAGTGCTTAAAGAGTTATATCAAATAAATGTCCCATAACTTAAACTCGGAAGCCATTATTTTATATCACTTATATGCATTTAGTTGTTTCTAATTGATTTATCGATTTATAAATTATGAAGTTTTGTTTATAATGATATACATATACATAATTGTATATAAAACTATATGTAGTGTATAATATATATATAGATTATTTTGAAGATATCCTTTAGTACTTACACTTGATGCCCAAGAAAATGGACGTTGTTAACAAGCCCATGCAGAAAATACATGAAATCACTATCACAAGACACCGTGTTCCTAAACAAGAAATAGGGACAAGAAATGAAATCGAGTTAGAGAAAGTAGATGAAAGAGATGGGCTAGGATAAGACTAGACTGAGTAAAAGAAGAAATTAGCATTAGGCATTCCTGTTAGAGAATCGTTGAGGCCTTGTGTAACTGTGTGTAAGAGGAAAAAGAGAACACAGACTCTTTGAAATGCAAGTTATAACAGGGATAGCATTTAATCTGGAAAAATGCCAAACAGATTTAGTACTATACTTCTTTAATCCTTATATGATGCCATAACTTTACTAACTACTTATATGTATTATTTTCCAACTTTCAGAGTTTATAACAAACCAGGCAGCACGTTTTAATTTTTGAAAGCAAAAATGCTGTTTCACATCTCCTCGTCTCTTTTCAGTGTCACTTGAATAAAATTGTTTCCAAGATATTTCCTTTTAAACACACAGTTTGGGACGAGAAACATTTTTTCCCACGTAATTTTGCAATTATTCAATAAGGAAAAATGAAGAATGCATGATCTGTTATATTCTTAAAGCTAATCAGAGAAAACTACGTAAAATTCATCTTTGGATAGTGTGGTAGACTGAATAACGCCCCTGCCCAAGATGCCCATATCCCAATTCCTGGAATCTGTCAATCTTAACTTATATGGCAAAAGAGACTTGAAAGGTGTAATTAAGTAAATGATCTTGGGATGGGGAGATTATCTGGGCCCCATTCTCTGGAAGCAGAGAGACATTTGAAGATGTCGTGCTGCTGAATTTGAAGATGGAGGAAGGAGAGAGAGAGAAAAAGGTACCACATACTTGTCAAGTCTGTTGCTCGTTTCCTTTCCACCTTTACTTACTCGTCTTCCACTTCATTTCATTTTTTAATGTTAGCATATCATGCACAGCATCATACACTTAAATAGGTTATCTTGTTAGGAAGATCACTTTGGGCTCATCGTAGAACAAGAAAACATACACTACAAAGTCTTGGACTAAATAACCAGAACTCATTACCTGAACATTTGGAAGGCAGATTTTTCTGGTAAGGGTTTGATGTTGGGTTATCCCATTGGAGAGAGGTGTACATTTCTTCCTCCTGCATGTCTGAGATGCTTTGATAGGTAAGGCTGTCTACCTGAGTTGCTGAGACAAATAACTTCTTTTGTAGTCAGGAACACACTGGTGAAAGAACTGAAATTGGCTACTTTTTCAGACCAGTGAGAAAATATGTTTGAGTTTAAGGAATAGAATATATGCATATTCATCCAGAAAGTTGAAGTTTATGAAGTTTAATCCAAAGCACAACTTGTTAAAGAAGGAAATGAGAAAGAAACTGAGTTCCAAATGGCCAACGATAGAATATGTTATTGTTCTGGTTTCTAAAATGTAGCATGTTGAAAGTGATAGCACTGAATTACTAAGATGAAAAGGATAAAAGTGCAAGGAATGCACTTATATTCGATATAGGACATGAAGCAGGGGGATGATCTAGATAGCAAAGGTCTGAGGCTAGCTCACATTGGGCTAACCAGGGTGTCAGAAGTTATAGACCACTGTGCACCCTTTGACAAGAAAGCTAGGAAGAGTTTTCATCCCTAATATAAATTTACACACTGTATTCCGCAGGGTAATGCAGTTACTGTAATAAGTAAACCTCAAAATACCAGTTGCTTAACACAATAAAACTTGCTCACTCACATGACATTTTAGCTCGAGTAATCCTGATTAGTGGGTAGGTTTCTTCCAAATGGGACACAGGTTCCTATCTTATAAAACACTGGATTCTCTACTTCTAGCTATTGGAAAGGAAAAGAAAAGGTGGCAAATCCACACTTGCTTCTTGAAAGCTATAACCTAGAAGTAGCCTGTATCACAGCTGTATCCCCTAATGGAATGCCCATGTTTGGATCTAAAGGTTGGGCCTGATAAATGCAATTTTTGCCTGGCTAGCAAACTATTTATGACAACTTCACTCTGGAAAAGAAGTATGAATTATTTAGTGGATAGATGGCCATTTCTGCCACATCCTGTGACTACAGCATTTGTATTTAGAAATTTGATGCTTTAATCATCACTCATCTATTGGTCATTTGTCCTTATGGCCAAAGGTCATGTCTTGGTAATTTGCTGTCTGCAAATCCCAACAGTATGCAAAATTGCAATGTTCTCTTTTACTTTAGTGTCCCACTTAATCAATCATTGACCTCTGTAACAGAAGAAAACAAAGGGTACACTCAAGGGGTAACTTAAGGGCATTTAATAAAGGCATTGTTTATAAGACTTTGGGAAGGATATGGGAACCAAAAAGGACTGGTGAAAAATGCATTGGGAAGCTATCAAGACGCCTAGGCCTGAGGAGTTAAAGGGAGGGTCTTTATTGCCTCATTGTGGCCTGTCTGAGGGAGCATGGTCTAAGATATAGAACATGCAGCCTTTGCCAAACCATGGCATGGTAGAGCGAGAGCCAGGGAAATAAATACCCTGACCACCCTCTCTTTTCACCCTCTGGTCACTGCTAGTACCTCCCAATAAGTAAATTATCTGGAAGCCAGTGGCCAAGTTTGCCCAGATAATGCCGTTCATTTGAGTTCTATCTCCCAAGGCGACAGGACAGGGTGGGGTTGAGAGGATTTCAGGAGGCAAATGGGGAATCTGCAGCAAATTCTCCAAATATTTCACATGATTTTCATTTTTAAAATCATATTCATTTCAGTGATCTGAGATTCTGATCTGAAAAGCAATGTGGCTTAACTCCCCAGAGCCTTTACAATGGAATGATTTCTATCTTGAGAAAAAGGGGGACAAACATAAGCATACCAAACGTGCATTAAGACTAATATTAGAACACAGGCAAGGAAGTTCAATGAGTCGTGATTAATTTCCAGGTACCCTCGAATTTTATAAGCACTAAATATGAGGCTCAGAAAGATCTAGTTTTCCCCAATACAGTATATTCTCTGATAAATTTCTTTGAGGAACCTTTGGGCTCTCTCAATAAAACATTAATATGTTACTTGTGTTACTCTTGATGCTTTTAATCATACTACCTGTTCTTTATTATTCATTACATTCTAGCTACTGTTTCAAAGGGCTTTTACATGAATTATTTTGATTCTCACAACAGCTCTACTACTGTTAGTACGTTTGTAACAATTGTAAATTGAAGCATAGAGACGTCAAATTATTCACCAAAGTTCACCTATGCAGTAAGTGGAAGAGTTAGTATATGAAACTAGGTGGTCTGATCACAGAACCCATGCTATTAAAATCTGTACTATTCTTAATTCATGTGTAATATGCTTTCAATATGAGTACCAGGAAAAATAATCTTTGTAGGTACAGTTTGACTGGTTTACATTTTTCAATTGCGTTTTTGCCACGCACTAAGATATTATTCTTCAAAATTTAGTTATCTCATAGTGATGTATAAATATACGTTTTTCCATTTGGGGGAGATAAAACATTGAAGTGCAAAGATATGGCTGAATTTTGGACAGTCTTCTAAACTGTTATGTCCTATTTGGTTTCTCTAAATAAACAATAAAAATAGGAAAGTAATGGTATATCCCCTGAAAGCAAAGATCTCGTGTCATTCAAAGAGGAAGCAGGATCTGAGGTATTTCTGTTATTTTTCCTTGCCTTCTCCACCAAAACTGCTTGTTTATTGATAGTCTAAAAAAGATAAATATTCCAGTGTCTTTTGGGCGATAGTGCACAAATCTATAAAAGTAATACATATTTATTGAGTATTTATTGCATGCTTGGAACTCTGCTCAATGTCTTATATAATTATGTTAAATGATCCTCACAATTACCTTATGAACCAGGTAATAATATTTAAACCCATTTCAAAGATGAGGAAACCGAGTTTTAATGTGATTAACTTATCAAAAGCCACATAAAGGAGTAAATTCTAAAGTAATGTTTTTCACAATCTATTAAAGACTGTTCATATCAGAATCAAGAGGGGGTGCTTGCTAAAAGGTTTCTGTGTCTCCTCAGCCTTCCAACCGAATACCATAAGTATTTGTATTTGAACATTTGCATGTTTTAACAACACCTCAGCTGAGATGTTTGAGAATCATTCATACACTTTATTACCACTAATTTAAGAAAAAAGAGTACCTTCGGGGAAGCTGTGGGAAAGAAATGCAATTTTTCCTGTTATCCTGCTAAAGGGTGCCTCTCCACATGTTCTATAAATGCTTCCTGAGTTGCTCAGCAAAAACCAAGCATAGAACTGTCAGGAAAAGAACTAGATAAAGCATTTTTACTTGCTGTTCCCTCTGCTAGCCTATGGGCCTTGTTAAGAAGCATTTACTCATTTTCAATTCCATCAGCTTTGTTAGAAACTTTATTTTTCTTCTTTTGCACAGAAAATTACTGCTGTTGAGTTTGACCAGAGGTAGATTTGGAATAGAAGTTACATTTGTATAGTATTTTACTGATTGCAGAGCTTTTCAATGAATTATCTCACACAATGAGAAACAAATATTTTTCTGTTTGCTCTGAGCCGGGAACTGTGCTTGGTGCTGGGCATTTAACAGCCAATAGGAAAGTTGTGGTGTCTGCCTTAATGGACTTTGGTCTAGTTAATACTCTGAAGTTTTGTTTTCGGTTGTAGAACTGTGAAAGACGTAAGTGTTACCCTATGTGAAATAGGAGAGAATGGAAGCTAAAGAGGCTACATGACTGGTCCATGGTGTACTTTAGATAAGTGATCATAGCATACAAATTATTCTACTGACTCCAAGTTTAGTATTCTTTCCACTACCTTATGCTGTCTTTCAAACTTAGATATTTTGCATAGTTTTCAAACTTAGATATTATCCTCAGCTCAAGTCCATTAAGCCCTACCTTTTCTTGCTCCAATTTTAAATTTATATGTTTCTTCTGAACATGCAGTGAGTCATACTATGTTGAGATAATTAGGAATAAAAGACAGGAAGAGAGTGTGGGGGAGGCCGAAAGTAATAAAGGGACACACATGTATGGTGACGGATGAAAACTAGACTGTGGGTGGTGAACATGATGCAACTATACAGAAACTGAAATATAATAATGCACACCTGAAATTTAGACAATGCTATAAGCCAATGTGACTTCAATTGAAAAAATAAGAAAGAAAAGAAAGAACGTAGTGAGTTAGAAAAGGATAACTTCTTATCATAAAAACGTCAGTTCATCTAAAATAAATATGTAAGTGAAATAAAATTTCAACTAGAAAAAAAAAGACAAGAAGAAAATTGATGGAAATAGAACAATTGGGAAACAAATGATCAACTCGCAGACTAGCTTCTGGATGTGTAAAGAAGAGACTAAGTTATCCGTTAGTATAAAGGGATATATAAAGATGGGACTAAGTAGTGCTGGTCGGAAAGATAATGTAAGGATGACTTCAAGGGGAATAAAGGGAGAAATAATCAATTTTATGGCTAGTCATTTGTGCGTCCAGGTCTTTTATTGTATAATCAAGCACATGTGTGTGATGTCCTGCCTATCTCTTTGCATTAAAGTAGTTCATCCACCTTCGCCAACCCAGCCTTCCTCTCACACATTAAATAATATTTGTTTTTACAGAAGGTAGGGTGAATTTTCCCACTATGAAAATAAGCACAATCCATATTTTCTCCTTCATTTCCAGAATGTTCAAACCTGTGAATGGAAAAGGTAGAATGAGTTCCTTAGAAAGCTAAATAAACAACCAACAATCAAACTCTATGTATGATGTTTTGTTGCACAAAGTGGAAATAAAAAGTATGGGGAAAATAAGTAAAACACAACTTTACATTGCTGGTAAACTTCCAGTCTGCTTGAGAGTATAAAGTATGTACATTTGAAAAGCTCAATAGCAATTTAATACAGCATAAGATTAAGCAGCAAGTAAACGCTAGGTACAAAAGGAATCCAAACCAAAAGATGGATGGGGATCTGAAATTATGCAAAAGGCTTTATCTTTTCATCTTTTAATAGAAGATCATACTTTAGTCTTGAAAGAAGGGTAGAATTTAGATAAATAGAGAGGAGATGGAGAGCTCTGTAAGGCAAGTAGCTGAACAGAATGGGAATGAGCTCAAGGAAAAGTAAGCTGATTAAGTATTTTTGAAATGAGGATTTATAATGTTATAAGGTAGCAGATATAAGACAGCAGACTGTATTGCAATGGTCTGTTAATTTGTCTATATTTCCTGCTAGACTGCTTATGACAAGAGGACAAAGAATGTATATTTACTAATTTATTTGCCAACAATCTATGGAATACCTACTATGTGCCAAAGTTGTTTTACATGCTAATGATAGAGTGGTAAATGAAGACAAGATTCCTTCTACTGGGTAACTTACATTATAGTTGGGGGATATTGGTAAGAAGCCAATAAACAGAAAATTTCAGAGAGTGGTAAGAGTTGTGAAGAAAAAAAACAGTGTGATATGATAGACTCGAGTGGATGTGAGTGGAGGGAGGCTAATTTAGTTCAAATAATTAAAGTCAGTCTCATTGAGGAAGTGACGTTTAAACAGTCTTGAGTCACGAAGGGAAGCCAGTCATGGAGTTCTGGAGGTAGAGTATTCTAGAAGGAAACAGCAAGTACTAAAGTCCTAAGACAACAAAACAAGTCTGATTTGTTGAAAGAACAGATGGAACATCGGTTTGCCTGCAATGTTGTGAATGAGGCAGCAAGTGGTAAGAGATAAAGCTCAAGAGCTATGAAGAGGCTTGTTGTACTATGGTATCCTTGGCTCCTACTCAGTAAATACTTAATAAATATCTTTTGAATAAATTAACTAAAAATTTAATGATCAGATTGTACAAGTCAGTTTAGTTTTACCATTTCAGTTTTGATATACAAAATGAAAAACAGTTGTTGAGACTGGAGAATGGAAAGTCACGTTAAGGAACTCTTAATACAATTGTCCCTTTTGCCTGGATTATCTGTGGAAGGATGGAGCCTCATAACATGGACGTTACAACCACTTTGTGAATGATGATGTGCCTGATTCTTGGAGATCCCTGGGGTGGAAGAGTAGGTAAAATGACACCAAAGTCAAAAGAATCCTCAAAATAATAACTTTCAACTATAAAATAATGAGGATGATAATTTTGTTCTAAAAATATGTGAAAAGAATTAGATCAAACTGAAAAAAAAAGAACACATAAAATGTTCCAATGGTAAAGTTGAGGTAGAAATTAATGGGAAAAAATATTGGGAATAGAGGTGGATTGTACCTTAGATAAAGAGCAGAAGAATGGGTGGGTAGGGAAAGTAGAATCGTCTCATAACCCGTGTTCTCTTGTTAGGATTAGGGTGCAAGTGACTCAGCTGCTGCTCCTATAACCTATGGTAGGGTATAGAGCCACCTCCCAACTGTTAAGTAACTTGCACTGAAGAGGATAGAGGATCTTAGGAATAAAAATTGCTAGTTGTGCCTTGTATTTTGAGTGTCCACTGACTTACACATTTTCAGAAGGAACTGAACCATCTTCCCACAACCACATGTTGTTAGAGTTCTGTCGGGACAATCCAACCCAACGAATTAATGATGTCCTGCTTTTGATATATTCCTATTGGAAACACAATTAAATATAACGGTCAGAATACTACCACAATTCTTGTACTAACATAAAGATAAAGCTTCGTGACAAGACCCTGGGCCAAAAAAAAAGTTTGGATTATTTGTATATATTAATATTAACTAACTATATTTGGTATTTAGAATTGTACCAAGTTCACTTGTTTTGGAATAAAAAATACTTGTAAGACACAGGAAAAAATTGTACACAAGATAAGTGATATTCTAATCTTTCTCTGTGTTTATCTTCCATCGATTGAAGATTAGACGTCCAAATAGTCTCATATATGTCTCTTAAATAAGATAAATGGTAAACAACTACAGAAGGATAATGAAGAAGAAATACATTATTGGTGAAACTTTATATTCCCTAGATTTAACTTCTACTTGCTTTAGTTTCATTGCTTAGCTTACCCACAAATCTTACATACATAACTATTAATTTGTTTTAGTGGATTGGGTAAAAGAGAATTATATGATGTCTTTCTCAAAGGCCTTCACAAATGACACATATCTACTTTTCTTATCTACTATATTATATACTAATTTGTTTTGTTCATTGCTTATTGGTCCAACTAGAATATAAGCTCCATCACGTTAGAGCTTTTTGTATGTTTCATTAACTGCATGGCTTCATGTCCTGGAATAGTTCCAGCACATATTTTTTGAATTAATGGAGTCAATCAATCTACAGGCAACAAAATTAAGAAGAGGTCAAATGTTTAAATACTCTCATTCCTCCCAGAAAAGCAGATAGGGGACAAGGCATTCTTGGCAAATAAAAAATGACTTGAGCCGAGCTTCTTAACAGACATATGAGACAAAATGGCATTCCGTAAGAGATATTATGTGAAAGTTATTTCTTTTAACTGCTTGTTTCTTAAAGCTTGAGCCACTTTTCACCTTTCTGTTAATTCTTGTTCTTTTCTTTTAAATACATCCACATTATGTACTTCACTATAGGGAGTATATTCTACCTGAAGTCTGTCTGAAATTTAACTATTATTTCTCAAAAATTACATTATTTCCTCTTTTAGTTATAAATCTCCAATCTGTCATCAATTTAGAGTACTAAGATTCAAGACACGTTTATATGACTCCAACTAATCTCTTTGTAGGAGTTGAGATTTCCAGACACTCTCTTATTTTGCCTGATTGGAAAGAAAAGTTAATTTATTTATCGGAATTTCTTCTCTGTGAGTCTGAGCCCACAAAAAGTAAGTAGATAGTATAGCAAGTTAGAATAACATGGCACACAAATGATCATGAACGTCACTGGACTAATATCCTCATGTCTGGTCCACTACTGTGTACTTCAGCTCTCAAAAAAGTATGAATCAATTTTGCTGATCAGCTGTAGCAATTCTGTAGAATATGACTGGTTTGAATATTTGAATGTTGAATCTCTGCCTGCACATAACCCAAATCCTGATCTTCTATTCCAATTTATGTCTGCTTTACTTTTTAATATTCAAAAATATGAATAATAACTATATTAGAAATTGTAGGATAAATAGCATAAAGAATTTTTTTTTTTAAAAGGGGAACTTGAGCAAACAGCTGTTGCCGATTTTTTTTCTGCCCAAATCCCGCCAGTACATAGTTGCACATTTTAGTTGTGGGTCCTTCTAGTTGTGGCATGTGGGACGCCGCCTCAGCATGGCCTAATGAGCGGTGCCATGTTCGCGCCCAGGATCCGAACCAGCAAAACCCTGGGCTGCTGAAGAGGAGCGCATGAACTTAACCACTCAGCCATGGGGCCGGCCCCAAGAATTTTTGCCTTTTAAAAAAAATATGTTTTGATAAACCTGTTGTAGGGTAGAAGGGAGATGCCAAGGCTTGGTTTCTGGCTTGCACCCAGGATTCACAAAGAAGAGAAAAGTTACATTAAATAATAAAAGGAAAGCGCATGAGTGGATGTGGACATATTTTGCTTGAAAATAGAGACTTTGTTAGGAGCTGTCAAGGGGGGAATTGTGGAAAAGGAGATGGTTAGCAGAAAATTTTCAACTGAAATCTTGCGTGTTATGCAAATGAGATTGCTTCCAAAACTATGTTTGGGAGAACATATAAAAAAATGAAGTTTGCATCATGGTTTGTTCAAGTTGTCAACAATTTAGCAGGCACTGAGAAGCCATGTAATATTGGCATAACATTGTTACATATATTTTACAATCATATTACTTTTCTTTATACTTCCAGATTCTTTTATGAATTAGTAAATAGAATTAAAGAAGTTGAGAAAGGTTAAAAGACAGTTGCAGAGATAAGATCAGAACTCAAAATCCCATAGTCCTATTTCACCTCTTACTACTCTCAAATGTTGTAGTTTTTACTGAGCTTGACAAGGTTTCAGATTAGCACAAACTGGAAGACATGAAAAAAAATTTTGTTTTTGCTATTTTTCTTTTTGAGGAAAATTAGCCCTGAGCCAACATCCATGCCCATCTTCCTCTACTTTATATGTGGGACGCCTGACACAGCATCACTTGATAAGCCCTGTGTAGGTCCTTGTCAGGGATCTGAACATGTGAACCCCGGCTTCCTGAAGTGGAGTGCATGAACTTAACTGCTATGCTACCAGGCCAGCCCCCAAAATATATTTTTTTAAAGTCAAATGTTTCACTTGAGGTTTTTCTCCTTCTGACTCCAAAATATTTGACATAGAAATCTCCTTACCAAAATGCTCTGGTTGGCGATCTTCACAAGAGTAGCATTCTGATCAATACAGTACCACTTACTGTCTTCCCATGTCAAGTTGTGCCTGAAGAATCCATAGCAATTATCTCCATAATATCTCCAGTTTGTGTCACACGGGCTGCATTTATGGCCTTCAGGAGAAATCAAGCATAGCAATCCTTTCATTCTAAATCAGGCTTAATTTTTCCCCATGTTTCCCTAAGATCTCAAAATTCCCTACAAATAGCATCGCAGAAATACTTCAGAGGTAGAGAAGATGAAGAGGTTACCAAGCCATACTTACTTAAATTGTCCTTTTTTTCCAATTGTCTTATTAAATTTTGGCAAAACTTCTTTGCTAATTGTTGCAGAGTTCTTGAGAGATTTTCATTTTCAGCTTGTAGGTAGTTTTGCTGTGTGACAGCTAGATGTAAAAGTTACATAATAAGTTGTAATCAAGATAATAAGGATGGTGTAAAGAGCTTTCAATTAATTTTAATTTCAGTAGAATTATCAATCTATGAAGTGTTTACTAGATACACGAGTAAATGAGTGCTAAAAAGGGATTAGGGTAAAGGGGGTATAGAGAACAAATTAGGAACTATGCAAGACTGGCATCTGAGAATTATCCAGGACAAGCAAACTATTTGAAGGAGTCAGTCACAAATGAGAAAATGCCACCATCAAACTGCACGCCCAAAGCTGTTGTTTTGACTTTCCTTGAATGCAGATTTCTAAGCAGATTTCACAGAGGTGCATTTTGCTGTCATTTTGTTTTTCATGTAATACCAAAACATCCATTCATTTAAAAAATGCATATCGATTTCCTATTGTGCTCAAAGTGCTGTGGTATTCAGGTAAATAAAAGATGAAGAATCCTATAATATCTTTTAAAAGTAAACAATATAAAAACAAGCAACAACTAAACAGATGATAATGTGACATTAGAGGACTTGTAAGTTTACAGGTAGAAAAAATATTTATTAATTAGGTAGGATATAAATCGTCTCTTCATGGAAGTAAATAAATTCATTAAACAAAATGAGAAGGAGGACATCTTCAGAAGAGGGAATAAAATGAGCCAAATTTCATGCAAGGAGATATAGGACTTACTTGTGAAACTGAGAAAATTCCAGGTTGACTAAATCTTAAAATACGTCGGATAGGGAGAAAAAGAAAATTTTAAAAGTGTGAATCCATTCTGAAGAGGATCTTAAAGCCAAGTTTACAATTTTTTGAAATAATTTTTAATTAATAAAAAAAATTTAAAAGGTGATTTTAATCAGAAGAAAAAGGTCAGTATTCTCCTTTGTTGAGAATATATTGAGCTACATGTATGATGATCAGAATAGTGTCCAATAATGACAATTAAGATTAGTGGGATACACCAGGATCTTTAGGTATTGCCTTCCTCAGATCAAATCTTTGACAATGAGTCAATACTTACACATGATCCCCAGAGCCACCAGCCCAACAACCATCGCCGCGCACAAGACCAGCAGAATCAAAGCCATCACACGCCACAAAGATGAGGAAGCAGGGTCAACTGTGGGAATACAATAAAGATGTTGGGGGCTGGCAGTATGACATGGCTATGGAGCAGTGTCACCCCGTCCCTGCCCTCTCAGAATTTTCCAAGTGATAGAAATATCTTCATTGGAAGATCTTGGCTGTGTTCCCGTGGAGATCATCAATAGTGTTTACTATACAGCTCCCATTCCACATATCCATCTCCATCCCCAATGGACTTCTCTCTGAGTCAAAATATAACTAACTGTTAAGGTTTTGTGTGTTTGTCTTTGTTTTGTTTTGTGCCCACTCTCATAAATAATTGCTTTTATAATCAACAACTGGAGAATCACACCCATTTGCTGACATCTTAGAAAATGGGATTGTGAAACATTCTCTCCCCTTATCCCCTTGGTTTCTATTCTCTCCAGCATTAAACTCTACAAGCCTTAATGTAATGTTACTTGCTTGTACCTTTTGTTGTTTATATTCTAAATAAATCTATCTGAACCTCCGTAGATACTACTCAAGTGCTGTAGAGAAAGAAAGCCATTCAGGAAAATAAGACTATATGTGCTATCACTAGGATAAAGAGGAAACTAGGTTGACCTATTAAGATAATTAATTCCCAATTTGCTGGCTCTGGGCATTCTTACCTGAGGTGAGAGTCGGTTTTCGAGTTTCAATATTTAAGGTCATGTATCCATCTTCATCTTGCATGACTTTCCTTTGACTACAAGTGAGCTCAAGCTTCAATGACTTTGCAAAATGTAGTTAGTGTCCACTCTTATGATTTCAATGTCTGTCAGTCTGTGATGCTCCTGTTTCTGGTAAGGTGGAGCCATATGAGTTGGGGCACTTTTTTTTTTCCTTCCAGGAAGCACTTTCATAGCTGCTTAAAGATACATGGGCCTTGAACAAGAAAATACAAAAATAATAATAACTTGTGGTAAAGGAGTAGATATGGCATTTGTTTCCTGTTTCCTTATCTTCAACTCTAAATGAAGCAATATTCCATCATGTGTATCCTTTCAAAGAACAAAAGTTCATGCTTCATCTTAACCTTAGCAGAATCTAAATAATATTGTTTCAATAAACTAATTTCTGATGAAAACTCATGGGTAAAATACCAGCAGATATATGTATTGTCTATCCCTTTGTGAGGAGCGAGTTTAATATAATTTGATCTAATTTGGGCCAAATTAGATGTTTCATGGTATTGGGCTGGAATAGACCATTCCTAATTATGACCTAGAATTCATCCAAATTCTTGCATCTTTTGCAAGTCAAATTTTTTCAGAAATTGGAGAACTTCACTTGAGGCAGGCTTCATATCGCTCAAATTTAGGTATAGAAGGAAAACAATCAAATAAAGTGAACTAATGCAGTTAGTGACTTGATGTATTGCACTCAAGTAATGTTTGCACTTTAAAGTGAATTTCCAGGAATGGAAAATCTTAACTCAATGAATTCATGTAATTTCAAGTATAGTGGTCCTTAGATGAAGAACTATGTGGGGGAAAAGATTATATTCCAGTGCTCTTTATGTCACAATATAATAAGTATTTCACATGTTTAACTTTATGAAATGGGCTTCTAAATTGCTATTTTAGCATACATTGAGAGTAGTTATAAGAACAGTCATAGAAAGGTAGCTGCTGTACTTGTAGGCATATTGGTGAGGGTGCTGTCTCTTTTGTCATTAGAGTTGCTCTTGTATACTTTTATAGCAGATATTTTTGTTAAACTTCCATGGCCAGAAAAGCTTTACTTTTCAATATAGTAATCACATAGTCTTGTGTCAAGTATTTTGTTTACTAACTTTCCCTTTAGCACCGCTTGTATATATTTTTCTTTCTTCTTTTCTCCTCCACTTTGAATTCTTTGTCAATTCACTTAAAATAATCTTTTATTTTAAAATTTCTTTCCCGGCATACCTCGAATTATTTTGAGAATGAGGTAAAGAACGAACAAAACAAACATGAAAGGCATTGCCTGATTTTTAAAAACCAAACTTAGCATGATTTAAATATTTTTACCAAAAACCAATATTTAATCAAAATCCCACTTACTTTAAGTAAATATCAAATTTAATAATGTCTAAAAATCAAATAATCAAATTTCTTAAATCCCCAAACCCACTTTTGTCACTGAATTTCTTATCTCAGTTAAAATATTCAGTGTTTTCCAGTCATAAGCTGGTAAATCCAGATCATTACTCCACCATTCGTCTAGCGCTACTTCTGTTCGAGTAACTTCTGTTTCAGCCAAAGTAACTCTTCACTCTTCCTGACAGTGCATGATAGCCCCAATCTTCCAGCACAGGCTGAGAATTAGTTTGACCCTCCCTCTCTTCCATTGCCTGCGTTTACTCACACACCAAACCCAAGGGTTTTCTTTCACCTTAACTCCTCTCTTCTATGTTCTTTCTGTTACTGCCTTACTGTAGTGGGGTTTTTTTGCAAAATGTACAGAAACACTGAAAAATAATTGTGACTAAGTGACAGAGAGAAAAGAGTGTGGAAGGTATAGTTCAACTGACATGTTTTCAAGAAAGCTTTATTCTGGTCTCTTAGTAACCAAACAAGTAACTTCTGAAATTTATCAGTAAGTTAAATCAAATATGCAAATGCAAGATCAGTGGACACTTGGAAGCCTTAGAATTATTGTAAATGTTTTCTTGTTCAATCAACAGAAAGTATAAGAAGGTATGAAATACAACAATTAGCTTGCTTTGTTCAGGTTTCCACATCTCCAGGTCTTGATTTAACTATAAAAATATCCCATTTATTCTTCTTGCAAACAACCAGGAATATGCTGGGCTTACTTTTTGATTCATAAATGCTTAAAATTGTCCATTTAACACCAGAAGTAGGTAAAGCTGAAATGAGTAACACTAAGCCTCAGACAATATTCCTTTCCTATATCTTGGCTTCTGGATTCTCCCTTGTTTCTTTCTCCTTAATGTTTGTAATGCATCACTGGTTTTTGCATCTTTGATTACTCTAGCCACAGGCTGAGTGTCTTGTGTTAAGATCTACGTTCTATAAAAATATATAGGCTGGCCTGGTGGTGTAGTGGTTAATTTCACGTGCTCTGCTTCAGTGGCCCAGGGTTCGCAGGTTCAGATCCTGGGTAAGGACCTACACACTGCTCTTCAAGCTGTACCGTGGCAGCATCCCACATACAGGGTTGGCATGGATGTCAGCTCAGGGACAATCTTTCTCATCAAAAAGATAATAAAAAAAATAAATAACTTATATATATATACTTTTATTTTTATCCCCCAAACATGGCCTTGTGGTGTGAGAAATACACTGGGTGAGTACAGAGACTCTCAGGGTCAACGAAGCCCCTGATAACATTAGTCTTAATTCTGCTTCCTCCCTCTACATAGCCTATAAATACCAGCTGAGTTAGCAAAAACTAAGCAGAGAACTGCAGGAAAAAGAGATAGATATAACAGACTTTTCTCTTTCCTTTTCCAAAATCCAGAGGCTTTTCTAGATAACTTTTTAGTCACCCTAAAGGGCTTATCATTAACATTTTATTTCTGCTTGCATATTTTATCACTTCCTCTTTTCTTGGCTTAGGAAAGTGTAGCTGAAAAAGTCCTTTATTCCAAATATCCTGATGAATTTGAATTTGGAATAAAAATTTTTATTTTTTTAATATTATAGAGATTGAGTCACTTTTACATAAATTATTTATTTTAAAGCAAATATTTTATTAATTGAATATGCTTCAGACACTGAAATTGGTGGTGATTATTCACGGAGAACGTTATAGTCTTAGTCCTTATGGAGCACAGAGTCTTAGATTTTAGCTACCCTTTATTTTTTAGTATTTAGAACACTTCTCTCACCCCACCACATGCCAGCCTGTATTCTTTATCCCTCTTCCTCCTTCATTCTTTCCATTGCACTCATCACTGTCTGGCACACCGAGTCTTCTTTTTTTCTTTTTTTTTTTTCTGCTTTTTTCCCCCTGATCCCCTCAGTACATGGTTGTATATATCTTAGCTGTGGGTCCTTCTAGTTGTGGCATGCAGGACACTACCTCCACATGGCCTACCGAGAGGTACCATGTCCCTGCCCAGGACCCAAATGGGCGAAATCCTGGGCCACGGAAGCAGAGCATGCGAACCCAACCACTCAGCCACAGGATGGCTCCCACACATAGTCTTCCGATATGTGTACATTTTTGTCATGTATCCCCACAAGAATGTACTTTATGGTTCTAAAATAGTGACTGACATACAGTTACCATACAATAGATATTTGGTGAATGAAAGAATATGTGCACAATAGGCATTTTCACCCTAACATTACACATGTAGAAAGAGAAGTTTAAGGAATTTGGGGACTTTTTTATGATCATATTTCTTGTAAAAAGCAGTACCATCTACCTAATTTCCAAGTTCTTTCCACTACATAAAGACACCTTTCGAATTTAGGTATTGTCCAGATTCTATTATCTACCTTTATAGCTGAAGAATGAATAAAAATACACTAGGATCACAATGGTAAAGTAGAGATGCAAAAACAAAGGAAACTAGTGGAATGCACCTCACTGTGGATAAGACTGATCAACATATAACGAGGACTAGTGGATGTGTAGAAGAGAAAGACAAAAAGAAAGTCATGTTGACTACAATGAGTGTTATAATAATGTCTCTAAACTGAAAAAATCAAAAGGAATGAGCATTTTGCAGTTGGTGATATCGTTTTACAGACTTCTAAATGTACACCATCTTTAGGCTAGCCCTTGGGTGCATTTATCAGTGATATCTTGTTCCTTATCTCAGTCCTGTGCATTAAAATTGTTGGTTTACCTTTGACTTACTAGCCTTCTACACACATATTAAACTCTGTTTATCTTTGGAGAAGGCTAGGATTTCCTGTCGTGAAAAAAAGCATAATCAATATTTTTCTTTCGTTTTCAGAAAGTTTAAACATGTGGATTGAAAAGTGGAATGTGTTTTATTAAATATTAATGAACTAAACAATGAATAACCATCAGACAATGGTAGCAGAGCATTTTGTTAGACACAGTGGAGAAAATGAAGGAAAAAATGTGTTAGACTGCACCCGTAACACTGAGAAGTTTATCATGCACATGCTTACAAAATATCTGTAAGTAAGAAAGTTAAATAATAATCAAATGAAATACATAAGACTTGAGTTAAGATTTGAAGGAAAGGCAAAGATTGCATAAGAAGAGAGAGGAAAGACAAATGTGTCTCAGGCAGGACAAACATCTGAACAAAGCTAGGGAAGTTTGAATGAGTATGATGTGACCAAGGAAAGTTAATTGGTCAAGTGTATTTGAACTGAGGATTCATGTCACAGTATATTGGGATATAAGGTGTTCTGTTAAAATTACTACTAAACTTACATTGCAGAGAGAATTAATTAATCAGTTATTTGAACATATATTTATTTATCACTGTGTATGTCCCAAGTACTAGTTCATTTTCTGGGGATTAAGCGCTGAACAAAACTTACAAGAGTTGTGCTCTTATTGAGCTTATATCCTAGTGGAGGGTGGTGAGCACAGATAGCAAAGAAGCAAGAAAGAAAAGAGCAAGATAATTTCAGATCATGATAAGTGCTATGAAAAAAATCATATAATGGAACTTTACTGGTGAGACGTGGGGCTGGACTTAGCCATGGTGCCTGGGAAGTTGCAAGTTTCCTTCCAATCTTAAGATCATTGAGAATAGTTTAAGCTTATTTCTGATATAATGATAGTGATAGCTATCATTTATTATTGTTTCTATATGCTTGCATTAATTACCTTTGTGGTAGGTACTATGCCAATTTTACTAATAAGAAAAATAAAGCACAGAGATTAACTTGTAAAAGTCACCAGACAAGTAA